ATATATTTAAATTTATTTTTATTGATTTCAGAGAGGAAGAGATAGAAACATCATTGATGAGAGAATCATTGATTGGCTGCCTCCTGTACACTCCCCACTGGGGATCAAGCCAGCAACCCGGCCATATGCTCCCACCAGGAATCAAAGGGTGACTTTCTGGGTCATAGGTCGACATTCAAGCACTGAGCCATGCCACCAGGCTCAGCAAATATTTCTACAGAATTCCTACTGGTCTTACATTTGGTTCCAAAATTGGGTCTATTTTCTTTTTCCCGCCATATGTTCTCTGCAATTTCAGTTTCTCAAAACCATAAATGTTTAAGGAAAAAATGTGCTGGCTCCAACCCTGTAATTTTCTCACTGGGGAATGAGCGGAGGCCTATCAGGCCAGCTCTTGGGGACGAGTGGGCGACAAGAGGCTGGGTTCCTGGACGCTCCCCTGTGCAGGGCGCCAGCTCTCCCCAGAAAGACCTGAAGATCTCAAAGCACTTTAAAAAACAGTGGGAACAGGCCAACTCCTGTGTGAGGTAGTAAAACCGGACAGTAAAGTCCTCTCTGCACACCTTTAACAGGCACATAATTGAAGATGGAAATAAAATCCCTCGCCCCAACTCTTTCTGGTTGGTTACTTTAGTTACTAGGGAATTCAGCTTTGATTATGCCTTCGATCTGGAGTGTCTCTTGGCCATGATTTGAGGGTCAGTATTTGCTAGAGCCAATCACACCCACCCAGTCTCTGGTGTGCAATGGCTTCTGGGCAACTGGGTTCCTTGGGAGGAGCCCTCTGCCAGTGCTGGGCCATAGGCTTCAGCCATAATGGGCATGACTGTTCCTCAAAACCAGGCTGCCCCAGTCTGAGTTTAGGAGGACAGAATTTACAGGCAGGGAGATGGGGACAGGAATTAACCTGACTCCTGCCAGATTCTGGGCTCTCTGTGTATGAGACGCAGGCCACCTTCCTCACGGAGCCCTGGCCCGGAGCCCTCACCCTTTGGCTTTCCGCTCCAGTGCGGCCTCCTCCAAGAGTCTCCGGCCTTCCTACAGCTGCTCAGCTTTCGGAGCTCCCTGCACGTTTCCTTTGTTTGTCGTAGCTTGTAACTGGACACTTATCTGTGTGGCTGTCCAATGGACTGTGGGCTCCCCGGCTAGCCTGTGCATGCCACCCTTTGTTATCCTATATCCCTGTGCCTGTAGTAGGAGGGACTCAACAAATCTGTCTGTTTAGAGAAAGTTAATACAATGGAGGTGGGGTGCCATGGCAGAGGCAGAAAAGATGCAGAGAGAGTGGTACTGAAGGCCCTGGGGAAGCAGAGAAAAATCTGCATTTGGGATAAACCTGTTCTCTTTCAAACTCAGACAGGAAACTTAAGGTCCCCTGGCCTGGACACAGGACAGAGGCAGAAACACAATTGGGTATCAGGATGGTTTCATGCTCTCATTTAAGGACGAAGCCATTTGGGCTGACAGAGATGTGGCTATCTGGGGTCCACTTTGCTGCTGATTTGGGGGACCACCAGGCTTTCCCCAACAAGGGTCGCAGGCCCAGCCTCTGCTGACTGGGGTCCAGTTTCCTGGCTCTCTGTGGACGAGCTGTACTTTTCATTTGGCTCTATGCATACTGGAAGGAGAGGTGTGTGCACCTCATGGGCTGTCCTCAACCAGGACCCAAACCTAGGTCCCGAGTCTCTGCAATACCCTTGAAGGTTTACCCGAGACCGACCCAGGAACCCTGATTCTGCTGGGCTGTGTCAGAAGATAGAGCGTGAGTTGGGAGTTGCCAAGGCGAGGGCTCCCCCGCTCACTTGCAGGGGCGTCTAGACCAAGCTGCATGGCCTTTCTGAGCCCTGTGCTTTCAGCTGTGCAATGGGAGGTGGGATTCGATGTGGGGTTGTCTGTGAAGCACTTCTGAGCAAGTGCCTGCCATGAGGGGCTGCTGTGGACACCATGCAGCAGCGTACACAGAGAAGGCTGGGCCATGTCGGTGGCTGAGATGGTGTGAGGCTCACCCTGGCTTTATGGGTCTCCTTGTACAATTCCAGATTTCAAAACCATGGAGCAGAAACACGGGGAGGTGGGCCTGTCTCATTCCCTGGTGGCCAGCATCTCTCATGTGCTTCCCCAACCAAACACCTGACCGAGCAAGGCGTGGCTCCAGGAGTCACTGGAGTTGCTGATTCGGCTGCAAGGGACTTGGCCGCTGCTCTCCACACTGGGGACTTCCTGGACTCGGGGGCTCTGAAAACAGGGCTAGGAATGCTTCTAATTCAGCACTGTGCCCTCAAAAGCCACTTTGAGGACTAGTGGCCTCTTGGCTGGGCTGCGGGGAAACCCTGGCTCACCCCTGCCCACTGGCCCCCGAAGGATGCGGCCTCTGCTAGACTGTGGCCAGGCCCTGTGGGTGTAGAGTCTGCTGAGCAGGCAACACAGGCCCAGCCTTTCCAAATCGGATGCCTCAACACTGGCCACCATTCCAGGCTGACTTCAAACCAGGAAACTGGCCAAAGGGCACCCGCCCCACCAGAATCTTCTCCTCTCTTCCATCCTTGGCTCCCCATCCAGCATGGCTTGGTAAAACATGGCTCAGTAAGGTACCAGGCAGATGCGGGGACCCTCTGGGCAGGCCTGGCCCTGTAGAGACATGGGAACCCAGGTGCTGTCCTCTGGATGGATCTGGGAGGCGGTGGGCTGGCCTGGAAGTTTGGCATTGCGAGGCAAGGAAACGGTGGTCCTGCCGAGACCTGCTGCCTTGGCTCATGGCCTGGGACAGAGCTGACGCCTGTGGCTGGCAGCTGTGATGGGCAGTGGATCTTATGCTCTGATGCTCTCTTTCCAGGGACCAACAGGTGGGTCCTGGAGTGAGAGTGAAGCACAAGCTGCACAGTGGGCTGGCCCCTCACCAAGAGGGGAGCTATTTCAGTGTCTGCAGAGATGGGGACAGGCAGGCTGGCCTTAGCTTTCACTGTCAGGCAGCATAACAAACAGGGACTCACACGCTGGCCCCGCAGGCCTGCTGGGGATGCCCCAAACAGGAGCAGACACCCAGGAGGGTCTGACAATCAGTTATTGACTGGAACTGCCTGGCTACCCGACAGCCAGGCTAACGGCCCCTGCATTTCTGAGACAAAAAGACATGTTGTTGGCACCGTGCAGGGGATAATGGGGGTAGGGATGGAGGGGCTGAGGGAGACCAAGAAAAATGAATGTGTGCACCGTGGACCTGAGCCTTGGCGGGGGAAGAGGGGAAAGGCGCTGAGCTGAAGCCCCGGGGCCTGTTCAAGGGAACATCTGCATACATGGCCCGATTTTGATAATGTGTTTCCTTGCTGGTTTCAGTTTTAGGCAGAGAAGTGTAAGGCTCATTTGTTAGCTTCACTGTTGGCTGTGCCTCCTTAAAAATGAAAGAGAGGTGGACCTACCTACACCAGGATGAGACATCCATGTGTTTTGGGTGCACACAACACGGACAGAAACACGCACAGGCGGGCAAGCACACAGATGCACAACCCTGCACCTCGGCCCCAGAGCCAGCATGAGCCAGGCTTCAGATGGGCTGGGGTGCTCTTGGCTTCTGAAGGAAGCTCTGTCTGAATTTCCCTGCTCGGATGTGCAGCCAATCTTAAACGGACTCAGAAATAGCTCAAAGAGCTGTCATCTCCCCAGCTGGGGCACAGAGAGGGGAGGTGCTGAGTGGAAGAGGGTCTGAGTGAGGTGGCTTGAGGGTGACCTTGCTGCCTGGGCCTCATGAATGTTTTTTAAATATATATATTTTATTGATTTCAGAGAGAAAAGGAGAGGGAGAGAGAAACATCAATGATGAGAGAGAATCACTGATCAGCTGCCTCTGCACGCCCCACACTGGGGATCTAGCCTGCAACCTGCGCATGTACCCTGACGGTTCATAGGTTGATGCCCAACCACTGAGCAACACCGGCTGGACATAGGCCTCATGAATATTAACGAGATGGAGGTAATGGATGCTCGTGGGAGGAGGGTAGGGATACAGGTGTTCCTGAGTCACAGGCACAAAGGCCATGCTGGCTTATCCCTTTGCTAGGGACTGCAAGAGCTAAATAGCCTAGAGAGAGGTATGGACACCCAAGGAGACCTCTGGCCCTGGAGTGGAGGCAACAGAGGCTCACACTGCACATCGCTTTGCCCTGACCCGTTAATCTACAGTTTCGCAAGAGTTACATCAGGGGCCCCTGAAGTAGGAAGGTGAGGGCTCCAGATGGGACCTTGCAGGAACAGGCAAAGACACCAAGGGTCCCCAAATGGCGTGTGGAGCACACACACTGTCAAGGCCATCGCTGCCACCCCAGCTTGGGCCCTGTCCTCCGGCTGCATTTTGAGGCCATACTGTTTAAGAAACAAGCCTGGGTTCACACACCGTGCAGGGAGGCGCTCATGTGTGAGGGCTCAGGGCAGCTGAAAACACGGGTTGGGGGCACACCCACTCCCATGTCCCTTTCTGGGCTCCCTGCTCACGGGGTCTGATTGTGATACTTGTGTAAGTGACAGGAGGTGAGATATGACTGGGACATCCTGACTGACTCTCAAATGGGCAGCAGGTGCACCCATGGTCTCAAACGACTGCACTACACCAAACACTTAGAGGAAACAGGTATGTCATAAAGGAAAAACAATTAGGAGGGACGTGATTCTTTTGCCAGCCTTCAAACAACTGTGTCTGGCAGGCCCCTCCTGTGACCCCTATGATTTTGGAGGCAATGAGGAGTGGGTGTAGGCTCGGCCTGCCTCTGGTCCTTCTCCTGCAGCTCTGTGGTCAGGGACGGCCTTTCAGTGGACCAGCCTGCAAAGGGGGTGAACCCTACCCTGCAGGGAGCGCCATCAGCCAGCCCGTGGGCAGCGCTGTTAGAGAGCACGGAACCTCTAAGTGATAGGGACCCAAACAAGGCAGTGAGACGCTGGGTGTCATGGTCTTGGCGTTGAGGAATCACAGGTTCCCCGAACACCCCCGCACTGCATCACTGGGCCAATACCTGATGGGCTCTGGGCAACAGAGGAGGTGGACGAGGAGCTGGCACCTCCTGAGTCGCAGTGGCTGGTGCTCCCGCTGCCGCTGGGGCTCCCGCTGGCAGATGGTGAGGGCGATGACAGGGATGGTGAGCTGTGCTGGTTTATGCACTGGGCCACAGCAAAGCCTGTAAGACAAGGGAGGGTGACGTGATTAAGCAGGAGGAAACCAGCCGGCCTGGTGGGAGGGGTCCCAACTATGTGTGGGACTCTCTAGGGCCATAGTCCGCAAACTGAGGCTCTCGAGCCTCATGTGGCTCTTTGGCGCCTTGAGTGTGGCTCTTCCACAAAAATACCACGGCCTGGGCAAGTCTATTTTGAAGAAGTGGCGTTAGAAGAAGTTAAATTTAAAAAATCTCAAAAGAAATTTCAATCGTACTGTTGATATTTGGCTCTGTTGACTGAGTTTGCCGACCACTGCTCTAGAGCAAGCCCCCACCTCAAAGGTGGGGCAGGGCCTTTACGTGAAGGCCACGCTAACCAATCCAAACCCAGCTCCTTGAAGGTCCGGGTCAGCTCCCCAGCTGAAGCAGGGCTGTGAGCTGTAACTCGAAGAGCTTGACCTGGTTCAGCAACATGCGTGCTGTGCCCTTAAAGGGACATGTAACCCGAGAACTTGAGCGGCATCTTGGAGGAGGTCACACAGGGACATGGACCTTTGCTAATGCGCCGGTGCTACCAAAGGCAGGGCACCAGACCCAAACTCGGATGCCACACTGGATGGGAGGGGAGAGCCCCCAACACGCCCATGCCATAGAAGTGGCTCTGCTCTAGCGAGTCTAATGGATTTGATGTGGGAGCTATGAAAGCCCTGGTGACAAGCCACCAATTACAGTCATGCACCACAAAAGGACGTTTTGGTCACAATGACAGTCCCATAAGAGTGTAAGTAGCGCCTAGCCAGCGGTTGAGCATTGACCTATGAACCAAGAGGTCATGGTTTGATTCCTGGTCAAGGCACATGCCTGGGTTGTGGGCTTGATCCCCAGTGTGGGGTGTGCAGGAGGCATCATTGATGCTTCTCTTTTTCCCTTCCTCTCTGAAATATATATATCCATCCTATATAATAAAAGGGTAATATGCAATTTGAACATCACTCCAACACACAAGATGGTCACCACAAGATGACCATCAGGGGAGGGCAGTTGTGGGCGATGAGGCCAGCAGGAGAGGGCAGTTGGGAGGGACTAGGCCTGCAAAGGAGGGCAGTTGATGGTGATCGGGCCTGCAGTGGAGGACAGTTGGAGGGGAGACTGGGCCTGCAGGGGAGGGCAGTTGGGGGCATCTAGGCCAGCAGGAGAGGACAGTTAGGGTTGACTAGGCCTGCAGGGGAGGGCAGCTGGGGTGACCAAGCCTATAGGGGAGGGCAGTTGTGGGGGGACCACGCCTTCAGGGGAGGGCAGTTGGGGGCAACCAGGCTGGCAAGGGAGGGAAGTTAGGGGTGACTGGGTCAGCAGGAGAGGGCAGTTGGTGTGACCAGGCCTGTAGGGGAGGGCAGTTGGGGGCATTCGTGTGAGCAGGGGACCAGTTAGGCATGAATCAGGCTGGCAGGGGAATGGTTAGGGGGTGATCAGGTTGGCAGGCAGTAGTTAAGGGTAATCAGGCAGGTGAGCTGTTGGGAGCCAGGAGTCCTGGATTAGAGGGTGCAGGCTATACTGAGAGATAACCCCCCTAATGCACGAATTTCATGCACTGGGCCTCTAAAATATATATATGAAGAATATAAGTAGCTGAGAAACTCCTGTCACCTCCCAACATCATAGCCGTCATAGTGCAATGTGTTCATTATGTGCGATTTGTGGCGAGCCTGGTGTAAACAAACCTCCTGGACTGCCAGCGGTGTAAACTAGGTATGATATATGACTCATATTGATAACAGACACCTATGCTACTGGTTGATGGATTTACTATACTTTTTATCCTTATTTTAGAGAGTAGTCTTTCTACTTGTAAAAAGTCTGCAGTAGTTGTGCTGACCTTGCTTCCTGACTGCATCCTCTTCTCGTACTCAATGGAATTTCCTGCTGTTTTGTGCAGTAACACGCTGTTTGGGCTTGCAGCCTGGGCACCACAGGCAATACCCAACAGCCCAGCTGTGTAGCATGTGCACTCTAGGTGCTTGTCCAGTGATGAAACTGCCTAACGACACATTTCCCAAAACAGACCCATTGTTAGGTGGCATGTAACTGTCCAGTTTCACACAGCCCTCAGCAACTCTGGGTTCGGTGACAGGATCACCCATTTCTAGGGCCTGGGGCCTTCCTAGAACAGGGGAATAGATAAGCCCCATGTTTTGGAGTCCTGGGCAAACCCTGCTTCACCACCCAGAAACCCCAGAACATGTGCCCAGTGTTATTTCCCAACTGCTAGCTGGGTGTCTCGCCATCTTCCCATCACCCCACTGTGGGGGGTGCCATGAGAGAGCACCATCAAATTCCTGCAGGGCATGGTGCGTGGTGAGTGCAGCGTGCTTTACAACGAAGGGGGCCCTCTGTGTGAGCCCGCCAGGAGCCCCTCCTCCAGGGGATGCGTGCTTTTTGTCCTTTTCACAGCCTGCTTTTCCTGTGGCATAGGGCCACAGCTTCTGATTTTATCCACTAAATCCACAAACGCTCCCATGGAGCAAAGGCCTCTTCAGTGATCCCAGGCGCCTGGGCAGCCCTGCTTGGCCCTGGGAGCTGGACAGGAACACCACACAGGTGCTCTGTGGGCCCCACTGCTTTCCTCAGTGACTCAGGAGCAGCACTGAGTCGGGGAGGGAAGGGACAAGCCCTCCTTCCAGCTGAGAGTGGGATCCGGTCCTCCTGGCCGATCACATCAAACCTCTCCTTTGACCCCTGGGTACCCCCCGCCCCCCCGTCAGCCCTAGGCCTCACTCACCTGCACTGCTCGAACCTTACATCGTCTAGCTCCTATGGACACTTTTTCCAGAAGGTTCTCCAGGCCCTGACCTCATCTTTCTCAGAACTCAGGAAGGTAGCAGGGTACTGAGCAGGGGTCAACAAACTACGGCCCAGTGACTGGTTAGTAAAGTTTTATTGGCACAGCCATCGTCCTTTGCTTACATATTGTCTGTGACTGCTTTTGAGCTATATCAGCGGTGCTAAATAGTTGCCATAGAAACTACATGGCCTGAAATATTTTACTCTCTGGCCCTCAACGGAGTCTGGTAGAAGATGGAGCAAGGTTTCTGGCACCAGGAAAGCCAGGGTTCTATTCCTGATCTGCCCCTTACCAGTGATGGGGCCTGGGCAAATCTGCACTTCCCTGAGCCTTCCCTGCACCCACCAGTGGGTGGACACAGGGCCGGTGGGGGGGTGGTGTTTGCAAGGGGACCTGCTGCTCTATCTCCTATTAGGACTTAGCCGGACCCCCTCGGAGGGGCTATTTTGTACTAAGGTTTGTGTGAAGTTATTTTTATCTAAGGATCAGCTCCTTAAAAGCCATACATCTATTTATATCCCAGTCCTCCTGGTTTGGGGTGATGTAATGGCAGGCAGATGGAAGGCCTGGTGGGAGCGTGGGAGGTAAATCACCGCACCCTCTTCTGTAGAAGACGATGCTCCCATCCCACCAATGGGCAGAGGTCTGCCTGCTGGAGTTCTCAGGAAAGGCCCTGAGCGGTATTCTGCGTGTGTAGTGGGGGGTGAACTATGACAAACCTAGAAACAGATCCAAACACAGCCAGGAAGATCCTGGTGGCAATCAGCCACAGCCCTGCAGAACCAGCTTTGGAGCTGCTTACTTCTTAATCACTCCCAGCGGTAAACCCCCAAATTCACAAGCTGCTTCCTTGCCTCAAAACTGAGTTGCCCCTCAACAAATCAAAATGTCAAGATGGCAGTGAATTTGTCAGACCTGTGAGCAGAGGGGCCTGCGAGTGTGGGAACAGAGTTAGGACTAAGTCTTTCACCCTCCAACAACACCTCGCCCCAATGGATGAATGATGAGGCTGTCACCAAGGTGACACTCACCCCTTCTCTCCCAAGCCCTTTAAAGCCCTGGTTTATTGCCCTAAGACATCTTGGGTGGGGCCTGAGGGGAGTGAGGGGAGCGCAGTAGGCAAGGTGCTGAAGCTGCAGTCAGATTACTAAAGTTCCTTCATTTTGGGAATGGGTTGCGGGTCAAGTCATTAACTGGCAATAAACACTGCACATCTGTTGTAAGTGCTGAGAGTTAAAAAGAAAAAAAGTCACTGACCTCTGATACCACCCACTTGCAGGGTCTAGTTGGGCAGAGGTTACTGAGCGCATCTCTTTCCCATCTGCTACTGCTAAAAGCCCACCTTCCCTTCTTTCCTCACCTTTTTTATCTCTTCCTCCCTCCCCCATGGCACTAGGAACCCAGAAAGGCTTGATAATGTGCTTTTTTTTTTTTTTTTTTTTTCCTGGAAGCCCAGACTCCCCCTGCTATTTCAAGGGGCTCCTTCCCAAATTAAGATATTAACCACTTTTTTGTTGTTATTCCTCAACAGAGGATATTAAAATGTACATATATATTACACACACACACACAAACACACTGAGTGGCCAGATTAGTATGATCTCTGAACGCATAATAACCTGGCTACTCAACGTGTGTGTGTGTGTGTGTGTGTGTGTGTGTGTATTCGTGCATGGGTGGGGTCTGGCCAGCCTGGCCAGGGTGAGGGGACATGGCCAGTTGGCTGGCCTGCCTGCTGATTGAGCTCCTGGTTGAGGGGACAATTTGCATATTAGCCTTTTATTATATAGGATATATACTGATATATATAAATAAATAAAAGAGTAATATGCTAATTAGACCGGGAGACCTGCTGGAGACTTTCTGGATGTCCTTCTGGACAAAATCGGGGGCTTGGCCGGCCTGCAAACCACCCCCAAAAGGCCCTCAGCCCCTCGCCAAGGCCGGCCATGGCCCCCTAGTGGAGACCCCACCCTGAAGGGGGTGTGGCCAGCCTGAAAATGGCCATCAGCCCCTCGCCCAGGCCAGCCCGGCCCCTCAGCAAGGACCTTCACCTCAATGGGGGTGTGGCCAGCCTGCAAACAGCCATCAGTCCCTTACCCAGATCAGCTCTGCCCTGATCTGGGACCCCCTTCAGGGCAGACCAGCCAGCCCATACCTGTGCATCAGACCTCTATTCAATACT